AGCGGTTCAAATCTCACCGGCTGAAAGGCTGACTCAGCCTTCCATCCTTCCGAGTGAAATGAGGACGCAGACTGTGGGGGCGATATGCTGACTCTGTAAACCGCTTAGAGAGGGCTGAAAGCCCTACGAAGCGGTATATAAGTCTAACTGCTGTTGCTACTGCTAAAAACTACGTAAGGAGATCCCGAACGCCTGAACGCAAACAAGCTAAGGGAAACTTGACTTAATACAGGACTTCACTTCCAAGAAGGTATCTCAGGTGACTTCCTTATCCCCCCCTCAGTTCCAAATCTTTTTTTTCCCCATGTCAAACGTCCCTGGAGACCCCCCTGACATCTGCAAGTAGCTAACTAGGTCAGTGTTTCTCCAGCTGAGCAATTTTAAGATGTGTGGGCTTCAACTGGCCAGGGAATCCTGGGGAAAAAAACACCGGGTGAATCTGAAATTCCACCTTCTTCTATCCACCTTGCCCATCAAGGACATTTCCAGAAACTGACGGTCTTCAGTCCTTAAAGGTCTCCTGGATTGGCTTTGGGGTCAGCTGATAGGATTCGATCTCTCGCTGCGAAAACACCTTCCCTCTTTCTAAATGTCTATGGAGGCTTCTCAGTCCTCCAGGTCACGGTTGTCCCAAAGGAGCTCTTCTCAAGAAGCAACTGGACTTCCTTCTTTTGTTTTGAAGACGTTTCCCTTCTCATCCAAGAAGCTTCTTCAGCTCCAAGAGGATGGTGGAGAATGGAAAGATATATATATATATATTTAAATGCAAGTGACCAGCTTGTCTGCAAGAAGTCTAAATCCTTCCATTCCCCTCCATCCAGTCAGAGCTGAAGAAGCTTCTTGGATGAGAAGAGAAACATCTTCAAAAGAGACAACAAGGAAGCCCAGTTGCTATTTGGAAAAAAGCCGCTTTTGGGACAACCTGGAGGACGGAGAATCTCCGTGCACTTCTTGGCTTCTCTCTTTCTACCTAAACTTGGTTTGACCTCTCTTCCCCAGTTTATTCTTCCTATTTCTTTATTTTATTTTGGTTTGTCAAGCATGTATGAGAAAACAAGCATGAATATAACATATAAGCACGTAAGTAATAAGCAGGTATGCATATATACATACGGAATGAGTACATATCAATGGGGACAGTAGGACAGGGGACGGAAGGCACGCTGGTGCGCTTATGCGCGCCCCCTTTATGGACCTCTTGGGAATGGGGCGAGGTCCACGGTGGACACTTTTGAGGTTAAACGTTTCGGGGGTTCGAGGATGTCACAACGGAGTCAGGTAGAGCATTCCAGGTTGAGTTTGTATCGATTGTGTGCCCGAGTATTGTTGTGGCTGAAGCTGAAGTGGCCGTTGACAGGTAAGATGCTGTAGCAGACAATTTTGCGTACTACACTTAAAGACAGAACGTAGGCAGCGTAGTTTTAGGTCGTGACCTGACAAATGCGCGAACGACAAAAGCGCGGCGCTAAAACCGCGATGTCATCAATGCGCCGACAACAGTGCGCCGACAACAACGCGCCGACAGAAGCGCAATTTAAGTTAAGGTAAGGTTTAGGTTTAGGGTTACAGCACGCTTCTGTCGGCGCGCTTCTGTCGGCGCGCTGTTGTCGGCGCACTTCAGCGCTCCTTCGTCGGCGCACTTTAGAACTCGCGGTTTTGTCACCGCGGTTTAGTCAGGCGCGCTTTTGTCGTTCGCGCATTTGTGGGTGAACCGTTCTAGGTTGCGCCAGTTCCAAAACTTCAAGCCTGGTGTCAGAAGGGATTCTGTTGCAAGCAATATTTCTCCTCCTCTCCACTGTCTTTCAGCAAACATCTGAGCAAAGATGAAAACATGGACATCTTTGGGAAATGCAACCACACCCACGGACACAACTATCAAGGTGCTGGGCCTGGTTGAGGACCCGGGGCAGAGGAGAGCTCGGCCTTTTGAGGGCATGCATCCCTGAACCCGTTTCCCTGGTGGGGAGGTGGGAGGGG